TTGATCCTTCTAAATTGCTGATTAAAGACCTTGTGCAATCATCGATTGTCAGGGGTGATGTGATACCAGAGGTAATTTTCTTTGGTCTTTCACCTGACTCGAAGTCAATGGTCTTCACTTTAAGTCGACTTCGCGACTCCACTTTATTGAGGCAGTTTTGGGAGCAAAATGGAAGCAAAGTACTCACGATTATTGCACAAAGAGGAGGGCAAAATACTTCTATAACTGTTGCAGATGTTCTGGAGTTAGTTTGGATACCGTCTAAAGAGCAGCTTCTGTCTTTGAAACAGCGTTTTCTAAGTGGTGAAATTCCGTTTAAGGACGTAGACAAGTTGCTTGAACTATTCGACAACAAGTATGAAGATCTTGCGCAAGAAATCCGCATCATTTCTTCAAACAATGGACGACAAGATCATTTGCTCGAAGAAAAAATCGGGCAACGCATGAGGAAAATAAAGCAGTACCACAAATTACATACTTGCATGAAGGCTGCTGGAATTATGCTAAAGTTCAAGAACGCTGTCGGTCTTGAAGGTGACTTCCAAGACGCTGAAGTTTTGTACAACCAGGTATGGGTAACCTTTCAGCTATAAGTGCCCTACTTTGTGATGTAATAAATGGCGTCCTCGTTTGAGATATCTTAAAGTTTCATTCCCATCTCTCTTTATTATTTTTAATTACTTAGTCTATCTCATACAGCAGAAAACGTCTAAAATTTAGGTGTAGCTGAAAAAGGAGAATTGTAATTCTATTAGAATGAATTTAAGGAATTCATTGTGAAAGAGAGGGGTGATGGTAAGAATGGAAAGGAATAACGACAATATAATGTTCCTGTTGCACCTAGATCTCCAATTTTGAGCACAGATGTTGTACCATGTTGAGTATGGCAGCATCTGGAACCATAAATATGTTGATTCACTCACAAAAGCAGAACTGACATGTCCTTGAGGATGACGATTTTAATTGGTGAAAGTATTTATCAAAGATGAACAAAGGGAAAGGAAAATAAAACGGAGGTCATGGTCTCATCCGTAATCAGAAAGTTATGGCGGTGTCTCTCTAATTTACATCATACAATGTCAAAGCAATTAAACTTTTCTGAATTCGTTACAACACTTGGCTTTTATAAGAATAAATTAGTCAGAGTAAACTCTCAAAGATCTTGCGTTATTCGCAGTTTACTGGGCAGTCATTAAATATGAGCTGTAAGATTTCTTGATGATAAAGGCGCGTTGCCAGCTTCACTTGATAATTTGACTCCACTTTCGTTTATGACTCCACATCGTGAGACAGAAATTTGAACATTCATTTAACATTTGTCACCATTTCGGTGAACATATAGACATCTTTAACAAAATATTCGTGATTCTGGGAAAGAGATAGTTTTAAAACATCATCCCTCTATTTCCTTTAAAAAATTGTCTTCTCAGATGGACAGAAATTTCAAACAGAGGCCGTTGCAAAGCATGAATGATGCCTTAGAGAGGACGGGTAATTTATTATCTGGAATAACAGATAACCACGCAAAATCCCTTGATGTTGTTACCCAATGTCAAGACTTCATTTTATGGTTGAAGGAGACCATCAAAGGTAAGAATTTATCTTGAGGCCTGTGTGATTACTAATGGAGGATTTGTTTCTTTTATGCATGCAATTTAAATTATGACTAAAGGTCTAAAACCTCTCAGACTGATATCCCTCATAAGGGGGCAGCCTCAAACGTAATCCCTGACTTGTTATTCAATACTTAAGGTCACTAAATAGTAATCGTGTCTTGTCTGTGATATGTTCGTATTTAGGATGTTACCTCGTCAACAATTACTTGAGAGTGACCTTAGGAAGGAGGGTGATTTAAGAGGTTGGGTTTCCCAGCTTGAGTTGATCAATCACCGTCGATCGAGAGTAACAACTCATTTCCAAGTTCTTTTTTGTGCTCGGCGACAAACTCAAGGTTTAGTATCTTTCCGAACCTTCTTGTGTGTCTTGTTTAGACTGATTAATAGAATAGGTATAATTTTTTCTAGGACTTAATTGGATGGGAAAGAATCGGAACTAACAGTGCCTTGGATCATATTGAAGTAATACTAACTGCTTCGTTTCCTCTTACTAGGGCCTCAAGAACTCAAGGTGCTTGTGGATTTGGCAATTATATCAGATGCGGAGAAAGGCCTGGAAACTGCGAGAATAACCCGCTTACATGCTAGCTGCTTAGGATTTGCTCCCCTTATTTTTGACTTGGAAACTTCCTTTGGCTTCAAAGACTTGATGGAATTGTGTAAACCAGTGTGGAATGCTGTGGATGCAGACCCCGACCTCCCTGATAAATTGGTAAAGCGGATTATTGTAAAAATTGCGGTGTTTCTCTATTGAAGAAGTGCCCATATCGAAATTCACCCTGCCTTTAACCTTAGCCGAGGTCATTGTTAGCAGATGTCGTTCCATGTGCCTTTTGCTAAAAGAGAATAGGCTTAGCTTTTTGTGCAAGCCATTTAAATTTTGAGCATTTAGAGGAAGAAAGAAGACGGCATATTTGACTTTAGAACAACATTTTTAGCAGTAACTCCATTGGCAAAAGACCCAGCTGAATAACCGTTGTGTTGTTGTGTCACTTACGTTTTAGAGCTGACGTGTCTTCTGTTGATTGCAACCAAAAGTCCCCAAATGTCGTGATTTTATTTTTACTAATAGCACACCTGATTGACCTGCTGGGAAAGAGTTTTGAAAAAGAATGCTTAGAGCATTCAAAACACATTTTAGTCGTCTTACATCGACAAATCAACAAGTATCAAATAATTTTCGAATTGTATTTTAACATTTACAGCTGGAAACCAGCCTTCAGATAGAATGGATAAAGGCTGTCAGAACGTCCCACGGTTCGGTGGCCGTTTCCTCCCTGCTGGAGGCTGAGACAATAAATTTACATGGCGTCTACTGTGTTGGATGTCTTAATGGAGATACTTCAACATCAACAACAATGGAGCAACTGACTCCTGAAAAGGTCATTCAACTCCGGATGCCTGCTGGGGACAATGAGCATAGCAAGAGTTACACTCTTAACGATCTGAAGGATTTGCAGAGCAAACTGATGCTTATTGCGGCCAAGGCATCGAAAGGAAAAGACGAAATAGACAGATTTTCAGACGTAAGTTTCTGTTTGTTACCTGGAATACATTGATGACAAATAAGAAGACAGAAAAGTGAACAGAACGTGCGACAGACATCGAAAAACACATAGACGTACAGTTGTAATGTATAATGGAAGAAAAATAAAACAATTTCATCATTATTTACAATGGGTAGGGGTAAAGAATGAACTCTGACCCTTAGGGCTCACTATTACCACAAAGGGAAATACGCATTCTTAGCTCTCCTTTCTTTCAAGTACATTTCATCATTTTCTGATTGTCTCAGAATGTTACCGTAGACAATGAAGGGAATGCTACAGCGTAAACTAACGTTAACTAGTGCAAACTAGTCACAACAAATATTGGGAGTTGAAGGGGTATTACTTTTGAACCAAGCTGAAGGTGTAGAAACTACACCTGCTGTGACTCAACATGCTTCTAAAAAATCCTCAGCATCAGTTTTATCAGTTTTTATATTTAAACTTCATAGTATAAAGTTTAACCACTCTTGCTCCGTTTACCTCTTTTTGAAGATTCTTTACGTAATAAAATATTATTTTAAATTTACTCCTTCTCAAAAGGTAATTTGCTGAGTCGTCTTACTAAGTCTGTTACAGTTAAACTGTATTTCCTTACCCCAACTGAATATAATTTTTCGTGCCAACTCTTAACAGATTCTGCAATGTGTCCTGCGACTTGCTGCAGTGTACATTTCACTTTGCAAAGCAGGAGAAGTGAATCATCTAAACTGGAGACGTGAATTTCATTGTTCACCAAGACTTACCACGAACCACTCTTTGACAGATGAGCTAATGGGTGAAAGTGAACAAATGGAACAATGTCTTCAAGACTGGAAACGTGAATTACGGGTAAAACGATTGCAATATGGCCAATTAAATCACTTCACCACGGGCCAGTTGCTTTTCCTTCGGCAAGAATTAGCAGTTGTGAAGGGAAGAGGTCCCAGAGCAGTAGATGGTGTACCTCTTGAGGTGTATAATCTCTTGGAGAGTGTGTTGCCAGGTATTGACCCAGCCACTTTGAAGTCTGCCCTTGTATTCAGTGGCATTTGTCCTCAAGAAAGTGGGCAGGATATCATCAGGTCGTACGGCGTAAGCAGTGAAAGTCACCATCGGAGTGAACAAATGAGCAGACCTGTCAATGCAAGGACACTGCCTTCTTCAAACCAAGAAATGTTCCAATCACTTGTGGATAAGCTAGAGTCACTTGGTTATTCTGAAGAAGTTGCTATAGCCGCGATGGTCTCATGCAAAGATGCCAGTGAGGCAGATCTTATCGTTTGGAGTGTGAAAAACAGCGCAAATGAGGAACTGATCACTGCTAAATACGCCGAGGCACTGAGTGATCCAACGTATGCGCGACTTTTAGAGGGTGAAAGCATCACACCCCTTGAAAAAAAAAGGTGAGAATTTTTTTTGTGCGAATCTGGCATTGGCGTGATATTATCTCCTAAGTCGAAAGGTGAAGGGTGAATAGAAAAATTCCCAAAAAATGAATTAATAACCAGGATTAAACATTTCAAAGAACTTAAAGTGTTCTCTGACTTTAAGTGAAATATTACAATCAAACGTTGATGTAAATTTATAATAGAAATAGGACTGAGTGGAGTCCAATTCGGTCTGTAATCATACGAGTGATTAACAAAATCGGACGACCACTAAGCGGGAGTCTGATTTGTCAATCACGAGTATGATTACAGGCAGAATTGGACGACACGAAGTCCTGTTACCAATTAATCATAACCATTACAATTTCCGAAAAAGAAAATACATTTAGGAAAAATATCTCCTGTAGGGACAAAGTCTAAAGCGAAAAATTTGGAAATTTTCCCGTTATTTTTTCAGGGTAAGTGGTTGTTGCTATGGTTATTGTGATTAATTCTGTGATTGGTGGATTTAGCTGAGTGAACTAAGTATGATTGGCTGCTTCAACTGCCCGATTACACTGTCCGATTACAGCAAACTGTCTGATTACAAATGTACAGAGTGATTAGTGAAATATATAGTAGCTGATGCACCAATCACATTTGAGGAAATTGTAATGGCTATGATTAATAATGGAACAATGTATCTGGAAAATGTTTCTCATGTCTTACAGGGTGTCTGTTTTTTATAAGCACGTATCTCCCTTTTATGGTTAATACGTGACTTTTTGCTGGTGACGATGCTGAATTAATTTATTGTACTTGGTTTTGTGCGTGTAACTTTGCTACTTTCATTTCATGTAGCCATTCAAAGGGGGAAGTGGCATTTGAAGAAGAAAATTCTTCAGAACCTATGGAAACTACTTTCACCTTCGACCAGACTGCAGGAGGAAAGTTTTTGAGTCTTGATGACCTGGGAAATCTTTTGCTTCATCTAGCGTCACAAGGTTATTATCACATATTTTTTACTACACGTTTTTTTTCTCCTCTGGAGTTTTCTAAAACAGAAAGGAATTTCACTTCGATGTTTCTCTTACCAGTAACTGGGCACCTAGGAACTTTTATTATTATTATTATTATTATTATTATTATTATTTTATAATTATTATTATTATTTATTATATTAGGAACTTTCTGTTGTAACAAATTAGCTTAGGCCTTACTTTGAGACCCATCGGATAGCACATGCCTATTGTGCAACTTTTCTCATTTCGCTTCAGCGGCATGAATATTAAAGAATGTGACTTTTGTAAAATGAAAATCATAAAGAAAAAAATCACATTCAAAACAACTTAATGTACGATTTAATGCCAATACTTACAAAATGGGTAGCTGTAGATTAAGCTTCCACTTTAACAAACCGCCCGTCAGAAACTGATTTATTGCTAATTACAGGATCTAAAGGACGAAGAAGGCTCATTCCAATGTATCTCAAACGTGGAAAGCCTAATTTTATGGTTGTTCCAAAAGGTAGGAAAACCCGTTTATTTTTCGTAAGCTGCTTCTCCTTTTCCTTTAATCTCTTTGGTAACGTGTGGTCTCTTTACGCTATGTTGGGATATATTGACTGCTGTTGTAATCTGCATTTGTTATTAATTTTTCTTTCACCGTGATGGTTTCTTTTTCTCTGTACTGTTATTGACTTCAAGGTCATACAATTTTTTTTTTCGCGCTTCTGTAGATGACGTCATTGGAACTTTACTGTCTTTATACATGCATGACAGTTCGCAGTCTCTACCCACGGCAGAGGAAGTTTTGATTTGTACTCCAGACACAACGACAGAAGAGGTGAGTTGTTGACTAAAACTCTTACAAAAAGCACGTAATGTGGTATTTTAGTCTCAAAAAATATTGGCAGTAGGGATACGTTACGGCTGACTATTACCTTAGGTGAAGTTGTAAATGATACAAACTGTAAGTAACACCTGGTACCATGAAGTATTTTTGTGTTTCACTTTTTAATGAGTAAAAATCATAAGGCACTTGGCGATCTTCAACACTATCCATTTTGCTCTTAGATTGAATTATTGTGGCGAAGATCCCTGGCAGACCACGATGGCAGGTTGTTTTGTCTGGTAAATGTTGACCTTCTTGATTACAGTGTTTCCCAAAAGGCTGCCGACGTCTTAGATGTTTTTCTGCATGAGCCTCAATACAGTCGAAATGAGGGTAACTAGAATTTTTATTTTTGTACAGTTGTTCTTCCCTAACTGTTAAATCTTGATCACGTTCTTATTGCTTATAATTTGCGCTTTACATTTGCCTTCATATTAGAAACGGAAGCTTTTAATTTTGAAACTTGACAGACCACTCGTCATTTTCTTGTAAACTAGTGAGAGTCTACATTCCTATTAATTTTGCCATCAATTGAGCAGTTACTATTACAAAAGAAACTAATTTCCAGTGCAGAACAATCAGCAAAAGAAGTATTTTTACATTGACCTTGATGATACAAGAAGACAATAAAGGGTATATGGTATAGGTTGCTACTTCTCCTAAATTACTGATGAAACCCCTCCTTTTTAAGTCAAAATTTAACCTCTTTTAAGCGGAGTTAAAAATTCCTCTGAAAGTTAAATTACAGGGTAGCAGCTTTACATTTGTTCGCTTTCTTTTTGTCTATGATACTAACAATGTTTTTCTGTCAGGTCTGTTATTTGATATTTTCTGCCTTAATCACTTATCTCTTTTAACAGTATAAGCAAATTCTTTTTCAGACGTGTCTCTTGTGGTTATCTGTAGTTCCGAAAATGAAGACAGAGCTCACATGGCTGCAGCTCTTGATCAGTACAAGCTTGGCACTATTACCCATTGTCGTTCGTCCGGAGAGATAAGGCAGTACCTGAAAGAACAGTTCAAGCCACCTACTCAACAACAAGGAAAGTTCAGAGGTCGAACATTGCCTTGGATTTCTGCAGCTGCATTAGACAGAGAAGGGTAAGGGCCTATTTACCACACGAAAATAGAGGATGGTTTGTACAGATTGAAATTCCCCTTGGGTTTTAGAGTACAATGGGTACCAATTATGTATTAAGTTTCGGGAGTGGCAATGAACGATGTTTCTGAGATATTCGACAAGACCGATTGGAATCCAAAATCCCATATAAGAACACGGATGAATTTTTCTCTCGTATGGGATAGCTAGGCTACTTGGTGACGGTTTAAAATAAAGGATAGGTGAAGAAGTTGGTAAGTAATCAATTTATTTGTTTCTGTTGAACAGGCTAGCTGTAAGAGTTATGTCATCAGAAAGAGCTGGATCTGGGAAAAGTTTAGCTGTTTGTCGACTCAGCCAACGCCTTAGTGAACTTCAAAATAATGAAACAGTAATGGACTACCTGAGGGACATGAATACCGATATGCCACTTTGCATTAATGTACCGATTTATGGACCGATTATTCACCAAAGTGCTGTGGTCGAGTCCTTATTGCACCACACCGTTGCTCCTGATTTACCTGTATCCAGAATATTTCACGTTGATGTGCATCCCTCGGTAAACTTTTTTTTTTTCCATTCTTTTTTTTTTCCTATATGTATCGTCCAGAGATGCTGGTTATTATTAGTATTAACAGGTGAATATTTCCTCAGGTCAGAACTGGTCTGGATACACTTCTGTTTAATCTGTTTATCCTTGGTGCCTTGAAGAGTTGTACTGGTCAGATCTGGAGGCGTCGATCTTCCGACCTCTATGTTATTGAAATTACTTCAGCCCTACCTCGAGGGGAAAACCAAACTGCTGAGAAACGACTTAAGACTGCAAAGGTCAATAAAATTTTGAATTTGGAAAACAAAAAAAGAAGACTTTCAAGCCGAATGCTTTTATTTGTCTCAACAGGTTGTTAGTTCCAAGAAAGTCACAGCAGAGCCTTTTTACAGGCTTCTTCCCACTATTCATTGTGGAACACCTATGCAAACATTATTTAAATTGAGAACTAATCCAACAGGTTAGAATACATAATTTATTGATTCTAACTATTATAAATTTAAATCAGCGCCTATTAGTTGAGTGCGACGGTATAAAGGTATGGGTAGATTTAAAATGCAAAGCAGGGCCCCCTGATATACATTAATTGTGACAGCATTTCTGGTTTACTGCGAACAAGAAACTGTGGAGTGCACTACCGTTTTCTTTGTTTTCTGTCCCAACCTAGCTGGCAAGAGTTTGGACCCCTTGTTTGACGCTGCTGAATTTAAGAGCTCGTATGTTCAGCGAGCCTTTCAGTACCTCAAGTTGTGTGACGCCGGAGGCCAAAATCTGGATACTTTCTGCTTTGTACCCGGTCAAGTGATGGGTGACCATACAGAGTGCATTGAGATACTCACAAGGTAAAGAATCCTTTGATTTGTCTATGTTACAATCCATGTTTCAACAAACTCCTTTCAGTCAATTGCTTTTACGTTGTACTGTTTCAATGTTTGTAGGAGAATTGCAAAGGCTCTCATAAAATTATTGAATCTCTTCTTTCAATATGGATCAGCCCAGTTGTCTCCCAACATATCATTAGAATAAATATACTGTTGGTGACATTCTTGAAATTTTTAAAGTATAAATGAACATTAGCATTTTCGTTTTTAGCTACTTTTTGGGGCTTATATGACCATGCCATTATATGAATTTATCATCAACAAAGCTAATATGCAATACCCTTGGAACACAAGTAAACATAAAACTAAAGGCACATTAGGAGATGAGGAACATTTTAGGTGTGTGGTTATTAGATCCCTGTTTATCTGTATTAAAAAGTTCAACTAATATTCTGCTGACTAAACAAATCCACCCACAGAAATTGTGGTATCGAGAACCCTTCGTGGGCGGAGATACGCCACTTTGTGAACTTTCTCGACTCCCAGCTACAAACCTGTGAAGACAGCTCGTTCTGTAACATGGAATTGGTAGGAGACACACTTGAGGGTTTTAGAAGCTTTGTGGTTCGTTTTATGGTTTTAATGTCACGGGTAAGTTATTAGATCATTAAACGCATCTCAGCAAACAACACTGAAATGAATCCATCAAACAGTCATTGTGATAGTCCTCACACAATCCGTTATCCATCGATCTTTGCATTATTCATTGCCGACCTGTCTAGGTAACTAATAAGTCACGTCCCATTGGCTTTGCCTATCATTTAATTTTTCCTCCACTTTTTAATCATGAGTAACTTCAAATATCATACATTCATCAGTGCATTTAATTACCCACCGGTGATTCTGAAAGACCAGAGTAAACAGGCCACAAATACCATCCTTTCCCTTATTAAGAGAGAAGAATTGCAATCGATGTCAACGACAGCTAAAATGACAAGGTAGTAATATACTTGCTGAAAATGTTAATTTATGAAACTTTTTAGGATTTTGCCACACCATCCCTAAATTCTTGCGAACAAACCACTTACACTCCTGGCCCGGATGATGATGCGGTCGATGATGAAGCAGCAGCTGTAGTTACACAGTTTACTCTCAGAAGACATTGGGAGACCAGGTACAACAGTTGCATCCACTTACTCTCTTTTGAACTTCATCACTTATCTTCCTTGTAAATTTTGTTAACTTGAAGCCATGACACCCTGGTCAGAAATAAACGTAGCTGCGTGACAAACCTCGCTGAATTTGTCAGGACAACTTCTTTTGCTATTGCTGTCTTTTTCTCCTCAAAATTGCACCAACCACTTCGAGAAACATTATACATAATGATACGTCTACGTCTTGTTTGTCCAGGAGGGCTTAGTTGAAGTTCTGTCATAGCCTTGCAAATTGTTTAGAGACCTTTATTAAGCAATTTTGGAGAGGTATGTGAACTAAAATAGAAAGGCAAAAAAGCGCAAGTTTCCATTAGTATTATCTCGTTTTCATTCTGTAGATATATAGATATTAATTTAATTATCTTCTTATCCATTTCTTTATTTATTGAGTTACTTTCATTATCATTATTTTTTTGCAGTTCGCATCCGTACATATTCTTCAACCAGGATCGTATCACTATGACTTTCGTTGGCTTTCATATTGACCCAAATGGGAACTTAATCGATCCAGATCGTCATGTTATCATTCAGCAAAATTTGATGTCGAGGCACTTGCGTACTGGCCTCCATGTTCAAAAGGTTGACATGCAAACCAACTATGAATCTTGGAGCAAGTAAGTGTGAAGCTGATTTAATGTTTTATAGAGGATAGAATTTCTTACGCCTTGAATTTTTAAGTTTTGAATAGCATTGTAGGAGCTTATTTTACCATGCTTCATCTAATAAGGCATTGAACAGATAATCGGTGCTTTGCATTTGAGTTCTCCATCGTAGTAGAAAGTCTCCAAGTGCTTCATATAGGTACTCTTACTATTCCTCCAATTCTAGGGGCCAGAAGATTGAGAAACTCTGTGGAGTAATGGGTGTCGAATGGCCGTATGATCCAGACGACTCGTACGAACTCACCACGGACAACTTGAAGAAAATTCTAGCCATCCACATGCGATTCAGGTAGAATGGTAAACGTATTTTTGTTGTACAAAGTTAGAATTTTTTTTCACAGTTGTGAAAATTAATTTTGATTTAAAAGAAAAAAATGGTGGGAATAAATATCGAAAAAATGTTTTAAAAACTTACGACTGGTTATAAGTTTCTCGCATATTTCTCTTAATATTATAAATTTGGCTCCAGGTGTGGCATTCCTGTGGTCATCATGGGTGAGACTGGCTGTGGCAAAACATGCCTTATTCGGTACATGTGTGGCTTACAGTCTGGGCCTGGTGGACCTAAAAACATGCTGCTAATGAAGGTAAGAAATAAACAGGTTGTTTCTTATAGAGTGATTTTGCCCATTTGTGAATACGTGTTAACTGTTTATCTAATTTCATCTAAAATTACACTCTTCGCTGATTTCTTTCTTTGTGTCATGGACAAATGAACAATAATTTTTTCTCATCGCAAAGTTGTAGAAAAAGTTGTTATTGATTTTTCTACGCATAAGCTAATTTAAAATGGCAAAAGAAATAGAGGAGAAATGACGCGGGGAAATTTTGTCATCTACTCTATGGTTGGTTTTTTTTTTTAAGTGAACATTACCATCATTGCAACCTAGTTGATTTAATTGACAGGTTCATGGAGGTACTACCTACGAAGACATTAAGAAGAAAGTGGAAGATGCTGAGGCAATGGCCACGGAGAACGAAACATTGAACATCGACACAGTTTTGTTTTTTGACGAGGCTAACACAACTGATGCCTTAGGAATGATCAAGGAGGTTATGGTTGATCGCAGAGTCAACGGCAGAAAGATAGGAGTAGGGCTCAAAAGGCTGCAGTTTATTGCAGCGTGTAATCCTTACAGAAAGTGAGTCAAAATATAGTGGCGAATTTTTCAGTGTACTGTTAAAGGGGTCAAAAATTATACTTACCTTTTGTTTTACAGACATACGGACGAAATGATTCATAAGTTGGAGTCAGCTGGACTAGGGTACCATGTTGCCACTCAACAGACACGCGATCGCCTGGGTATGACATTATTATGAATTCGGGGGTGAACTAGGGCCTGTTATGACTACGATATGGGCAGATGCGCAGACCAGCATGATACGCAGATGTTGCGATATTCTTTGCTTTGTCGCTTCTAAGAATAAAAGAGGCTTATAATGAACTTTAGTCTTAGTGTGCTGTTGAAAATGAACCTCACAAACCCTAAGAATGAATTTTTCCTGGCCTGTGGCACTTCGTCTTTGGAAAGTCAGTTTTCTCAAGCGCTTCCAAGAATTACTTTTTAAGCTCTCTCTTTTAATTTTCAAGGTCACATTCCTCTTCGCCATCTGGTTTACAGAGTTCATGCACTGCCAGAGAGCATGCGTCCGTTAGTGTGGGACTTCGGTCAGCTTAAGCCTGAAATTGAGGAGCTTTACATCCGTCAAATTGTCACCAGATTTGTGAGTTAATCTTCACTGTTGCTGTCAAGAGAAGATGGCAAAGCTTAAGAATGTGTTGTTTATAAGGATACGGTTAAAACAAAAACCGGTCATTTTATAAGCTCCTTTTCACCTTTTTCTAAACAAGGTTTTACAAGATGCGAAAATTCCGGGAGAGCCTCCACTGGTGAAAGCCTTGACAGCCATACTTACAGCTTCCCAGCGTTACATGAGACACCAAACGGTACGTCAGCCTTTTTGACAATCTTAGGTTTAAGGAACTGTTTCACATTAATTCGGAATACAGATTATCGCAACTTAACTCCTTTTTCACTCTGCTCAAATGATTTGACTGAACTAAACTTAACAGGATGAATGCAGCTTTGTGAGTCTTCGCGATGTAGAACGTGCTATGAATGTGATGGTTTGGTTTTACAATCATCGTGATGCTCTCAATCCCTTAATGAATGGTGCTACCGATGAAGACAGTGATGACGAAGATGACGATGATGACGACAGCGATGCCGATGATGAGGAGGATGAAATATTTCAAGTAATTCTCATAAAATGAAATTCTAAACGCAATATTGTGGTGCTGTTTATTTCAAACCCAGGTTGTTGGTCGAAGGAACCTGCTAGTTTTGCTTTACCTATCCTTACTTCGAGTGATTTCGCGAATAAGCTCAACCAGGCCTTTTGCAGTAAAAAAAAAAACCTTGGTCTTTGCCTCACAATAGAGAATAATACGTTATGTTCTCACTGATTTGGCTCGAGCAATCATGGTCGTTATACCATGAACTAACATCACCGTCCGTATTATCACTCGAAAGGTCATCTTAATGCTCTATTTATGTATCAGACGAGAAGGAGGTGTTATTGCGAGCACACATAGTACACGGTATTTACTTATATAAGTATTGTTAATGTTTGCCACGATAGATGTAATGAATATAACACAACACAATTTGTTTTCATTTTGATTAAGCCTCTTGATGATGTTACTCGAGCACTTGTGCTCTCCCTTGGAGTTTGTTACCACGCACGCCTCCAAAACAGAGAGCCATATCGTCGTGCTGTTGCAAGAAGCTTCGCAAATCCGTGTCAACTACCAGGTGGACATGAACGTATTCTGCAGGAAATCGCAAGGTAATGCTGTCAAACATTTGCCCTGTGGTCGAGGCATAATTGTCGTTTTTTTTACTTTTTTATTTTTTTCATTTTTCGGGTTAGACTTGATTATTTGTAAGTTGTAGCCTCGGCTTGTTACAATTTTTTGTACATTTTTGTTCCCCTAGCTGTCAGAAGGCAGTACTAAATGAACTGAAACTAGGGGATAACATTGCTCGCAATACGGCCTTGAGCGAAAACGTATTCATGATGGTGGTATGTATTGAGCTGAGGATTCCATTGTTTGTCGTCGGTAAACCGGGTAGCTCCAAGTCACTTGCCAAGACTGTTGTAACTGACAACATGCTTGGAGATGCCTCAAGGTCTCCTCTCTTCAAGACGTTCAAGCAGGTAGGTGTATGATTTCGTATGTACAAACTATTCTTTTTTAAAAGAGAGTACGGTTATGAAAACACAGATTTAGGTAGAGAAAGATGTTTTTTTTCGTCTTATCACGAGCATGGGGACGGAAAAAATTCTGAGTCCCCATGAGGAATCGAATCTCAGACCTTCGGATTCCTCGTTCCGATGCTCTACTACTGAGCCACACAGACCCTATGGTGAGCAAGGCCATTTCGAAGTTCATATAGGACACACTTTCTGAGTCTCTGTAGCTCAGTGGTAGAGCATCCAGGCACGGAATCCAAAGGTCTGAGGTTGGTTCCTCATGGACACTTAGAATTATTTCTTTGTCCCACGCTCGTGAGAAGACTAAAAATATATTTCTTTACCGAGCTTTAAATTTACCTCTCTCTCTTGTTCTACTTACAAACAGGTTGAATTAGTTGTGCATTGATGGTGATTGCGGTTTTATGGCGCATTCGTGAACAAAATAAGCACTCATCACTGATGCAAAGTCATGATGCATCCTTTCTGGCAGTGTATCCGTGACTTGACGAAGCATGTCTATTTTCAGTTATCACTGACGGAAATACATTCATTTTAAACCAGGTCCAGATGATTTCTTATCAGTGCAGTCCGCTCTCAACTGCAGAAGGGATCATGGCAACCTTCCGCAATTGCTGCAACCTTCAGAAAGCCAATAACCCAGACAAGTTTGTGTCAGTTGTGGTCTTGGACGAGGTTGGCCTCGCTGAAGACTCACCTTTGATGCCCCTGAAAACTCTTCATCCGCTACTTGAAGATGGGGTGAACTCAACTGATGACGTCATTGCCACTGAAGGGCACTTTCCGGAAAGAGTGGCCTTCATTGGGATCTCTAACTGGGCTCTAGACCCTGCCAAAATGAACCGTGGAATTATGTTATCACGTGGTCTGCCTGATTCAGAGGAACTGGTGGAAAGTGCAATGTAAGGTTTTCCCTCAGTAAATGTTGAAAATGTCAGCCTACAACTCAAAAGACTTAAAATCATGTCCGCGACCTTATTTTCAGTTCATCTTGCAGTGTACTGAAATGTAAACTTGTAATAAATGAGAAGTACAAAAAGGAATTTAAATTCGGGTTCAGGAATGAGGTAGTTTATACTGATATCTAACGTGCAGCTTTATCATACAAGAGACGTTGGTCACAACATGAAATCTCTTTCTTTTGTAGGGGCATTTGTTCCACCAATAGACGAATACAAAGTTTTGTTGCACCACTTATGAATCCCCTGACAAGAGGTTACGAACAATTGTACGATACTCAAAGACGGTCTGAGACCTTGCAGGAGTCCAAAAAAGATGAATTTTTTGGTCTTCGGGATTTTTACAGGTAGCATTTCGATTTATTCGGTAATTCTGATAGTTCTCATGTTAGTCTTCTACACATTCAATATTATGTGTTACGCTCATGTGCAGTTGTTGTAGGTTTTCGGCTAGGACTGTCCAGAGACGGGTTCCTCAACTGTAGCCTCTTACATGCTACCTTATTTTGTCACCTATTTTTTACCATAGATGGGGTTAGCCGCAGTAGGACCCGCGACTACACTTGCTATCCTGGCCTATTTATTGCAATCATGTCTTGTATTAATCTTTTAAGTTTTACGCATTTTTTTATATACTTACATCCCCCTTTTGGCTGCTGCAAACGGATATTTCAGATTTCTCTATGTGACAAAATTTGATGGTAAGGAAGATTGCATACTTGGTGAAATGTTTGAAGTAGCTGCTGGAAGCTAAATTTTATCACAAAGAATATTGCATGTAGATCTAACTCCTAGAAGTAATTGCCATGTCACTTATCCTCACAATAACCTTCGAACATTGAGGCTCAGAGCCAAATTTCGTTACATGCTGAAGTCTATCAAGTTTTGGAAGCTGAGAGATTTAAATTTAATTTTTCTTGTTTAAGCCTTGTGAAGATGGTGTACAAAGTTGCTGAGGAGCAAGGTCGCGAGCCACGTTGGCCTGAGGTAGAACATGCCATTAGAAGAAACTTTGGGGGACTGGATGAGATTAAACCTGTGGAAATTTTCAAACAATTCGCTTTGGGTGAAAGCCGTATGGTGGGTATTTTATCGGTATTTTTTAGTTCTAGTTTACTTACACCGACTGTTTTTTTTTTTTTTTGCAACATAAAAATTGACTAAATGTATTAAAATGATCCGTACATTTGTTTGAAAAACCGTTACAAAATGAATGAAAATATATTTTCATCGAGAAGGAAATTTGGTTGTAATTTATTGTTTGTTGGTTTAAAAATTTTGAAGAGCTTAAATATATTAACTCGAATGCGTATGCATATCTAATTCTTGTCTTGTGCGTATGCATATCTACTTCTTGTCTTTTGAAGATGGAGCAAAATGAAGATCTGTCGTCTGCTTTGAATCTGATCAAGGCAAGCCTGAGAGATCAAAAGGACGCGAAAGGGTGAGAAAGAAGTTAAATGTTGTGTAAGTCATCACTGCGTAGGGCTCAGTTGCTTGGTCCCGCTATCTATCGTTAAATAACCTGCCAAGGTTAAGTTTTAACTCGTTGTTCATCTAAGATAAAACGATAAGTGGAGCGTTTCTTCTTCAAAGGCGTTTTTCTTCTGTTTAAACAGAGAGAGTCGATACCTACTGGTACTTACAGAAAATTATGCCGCTCTGCCGATTGTTTGGAAAGAGTTTCTTCGAAGTGATGATGAAACTCGACCTGGTGACGAACCTGTCGTAATTTTTGGGAGTAGCTTTCCGAAAGATCAGGAGTACACACAGGTACTTACACTTTGTAACACTCCTAAGCAAGGTAGGCAGACATCCTTCGTATTACATATAGTAGTTCACATTAAATCTGACCACTAAATAAGGTGGCATAACTAATGGTAGTTGCTCCACATTATTTAGGCGAATTCACCTTGATGATTGATAAGCCAATAGGTTGATTTCAGCTTCTCAAGAGGATGCTCCCTTGAAACTTTAATTTAATATCATCTTCAGAGGATACGGCTGTAATCTTTGGCGTTTGTGATAAATAAAATCGCAATTTGAACAAATTGACTAAACTTGTAATGTAAAGGTGATAGAAGAGCTACTCGTCCCATTAAGTATGTGTAGATAATGACGAATAATACGCAAATATTCGTCAAAGTTAGTCATTTTGACCGTTTTAACGTTGGTAACAGGACCAACTGGAGTTACTGAGATCAGTATGTTTCGTGCGAGTAGTAAACGATCAAGTAAACCTATGGCCGGTAAAGCCTTTTTAGTAAAACGTCTGAATTAACAAGGAAACTGGTCGATTAGACCGTCCAACTAAAGCCATAGTGGACACGCTGTCTGTTGGGGCTTAAATTGTGGATTATAAATTGAGTTGTGATTTGAATTTACGACCCTTTACTTTTGCATATATTTAAAGGTCTGCCGAGACATTAATCGAATTAAGGTATGCATGGAGACAGGACGGACTGTAATCCTTCTGAATTTAGAGAGTCTCTACGAGAGTCTCTATGATGCTTTGAATCAGGTATGGATGGGAGAAGAAAATCTCCTTTCAATTAATTTTTCTCGTCAAAGTACAGCACATTCTAGTGATGTTGGAGAAAGCCTAGTAGCGAATTGTACATTTTGTACTGAAGCAAGCACTAAGAAATCCTGTCTGGTTTACATGTTTTCAAAATGGATTATTCGTTATCCTTAATTCCTTCTTGGTGTGTTTGTCTGTTTCGTTTTATTTTCAACAGAAAATGCACACATCAGTAGCTTCGTAATGTTCCTTTTTCTCTCATTTTTTTCGTTCTTCGAGTATCAGTGTTATTACTTTTCTCTCATTGTCATTCTAATCTTATCACTCAGTACTATTTGTATTGTGGAGATCAGAAATTTGTTGACCTTGGACTAGGAAGTCACCGCGTCAAGTGCCCTGTACACAATGATTTCAGGCAAGTATAGCGGCGGTTTGTTTTTCACTTGGGATACAGACGGAATCCTTTCTATATTAAACTGCAAGACCTGCTTCAATACGCAAAAAAACTGATCTTACTCTTAATTCTTCGTAGCATTCATTTTAGCGCACTTCCTTCTGTTTCTTTACTATACGTCCAGGAAGGAGAATTCTGGGAAGTAAATCCTGTTTGTTCTCTCGCTTTAGCTGTATGTTTCTGTGTACTTTTAATACATGTTTTCCTACAATAAATCTTCGTGGACAGACTCGTTGTGATTGCCGAAAAAGACGTCGTTTACAGCAAGTTTCCAATACCTCTCATCAATCGCCTGGAGAAACATTATCTTGTGACGTCAGCCAGTCTCAGTCCTGCACAAAAAAGTGTTGTAGATCAACTCAATGATTGGGTCAACAGATTTTCTCACGTCAACATTCCGCGACATCAACAAATGAGGTATGCAGTGAATCTAGCCACAGCTAAAATTTCACCATTTTCATTCCTAAGTATTTGTTGGATTTAAGTTGCAACACTCTCATTTCTCATAGAGTTATGATTACGTCATAGTAGATTGTAGTGTCGTTTCAGAAAGCCTGGCAGCACAATTTTCATGCGTGATTAGGTCACTTTGTCTTATTGCTGGTGCGCCAGAAGCGTTGTCTTCATTTACCCTTAAACGAATTCCGTATGACCCATTATTTTTTTCTCTTGTTTGATCAGGTAACGACCGATCTCCAGTAAAGAATTAGAAATAGTGTCGGAAAATGGTCAGAAAATCTCTAAAAAATTTAGAGTAGGTTTCAATTATAGAGGACTTCAACGATAGTTTTGCGCTTTTTTAAAAATTGTATTTTAGGGCGTTTGTTGTTGTATTTAGAACGGGCTTTTTTTTTAGTTCAATAACTTTTTTTGGCTAAAACTCATGTTACTGCATTGTTATTCTGCTGTTTGAGTTTAACTAGATCACTGAATGTAAAAATTTGACTTTGTGTCTTAAAGGAAATATTTGCCTGGTGATGCATTTGTCGGTTACCACGACGATACTGCAGCATCAGTAGTGCTACAAGTATGCAGTGACTTAGACGAGGATGAACTGTACAATCGTTTCAAGGACAAGAATTTTTCGGAAAGGGTGCGTTATTTTGAATTTATATAATAAGCTCAGTTATGCACGCATTCTGATTGGTTCTCACTTAT